TACGGGATTTCTTACCCATTAAAGTAACGGATCTACCTACTTTTCCAGGCAAACACGATATTTATCAATTTAAGCATCCCACAACGAATGCCATCCTCTACAACAGGGAGGCTAATTATCAACAATAGCAAACGAACCCCATAAGCCGACGGGGTACGGGCGTGGACAAGCAAGTCCTCGTCTCCGCCCACCCGCTCCGGCACACTAAGACCTCGCCCCTTGTCCCGCCTACACACAAATTCCCGCCGATACCACCCAACGCAGGCTTCCGTCATCTCACACTTCATCATCATACATTAGGCTCCGTCACCTTGCTAAGTCGTGGGCACCGCGTGAATAATACTAACCACACGGCTTTTTTCCCGTTGGCAAACACGTTTTTCGGAGGACGAAAATAAAAGTGAAATGACGCCAGCACTCGACAAAGACTATCGCCAGCGAGATCGAGGAGGAAATAAGTAACATACTGCCCACTCCTACTGGGTGTCCCTCTTGTCCTGACCTCGCCACCTCCCGCCTACGCCCTCGCCGCCCACACGCTTGTCTGTTTCTTAAAACCTCGTCTATAATGCGATTTACAAGTAAAAAAGGCCCTTCTTCGTCCCTGGCGAAGGTATGTATGAGGAAATGTGCTTCTAGCTAGCGTATGTATCAATATTTATTCCTCGGTCGGGCTGTGGAGGCGAAGTAGGTAAGGCTAGTGTTGGCTGAGTCCATATAAGGGAGGCGGTGGGCTCCATTCCAGATCACTCCGCCCAGAGCCCTCCTCCCTCCCTCGCTCCCTTGCCCCTCCCCCTACCTCCATCCTTCGTCCCTCCCCCCTCCCTCTTGCCCCTCCCTTAACCGTCGTCATGATATTCAGCACCGCATTCAGCTCCCCACGTAGCTCACTCGCTTTTCATTCGCCGCCGTCACACGCTGTCTCACTAATCTTTCTTTCCCTATATTTTTTTTTGGAAATTCTGTAAATCGACTCCTCTCTCAAATAACGAACAAACAATTCTCTGGATCCCCCTTTCCCTGCCTCATCAATATCGATCCCACGACACCAGGCCCCGAACCCCGAATAAAATCCCACATTCTGTTATTCGGAAAGCGCTCCGGGTCGTCGCAATGCAAATTCCCCCTACATTATCTATTCTAACGCGATCCTGTGGGTGAGCAACATCCACATATGGAGCGGCATGAACTCGCTCCCCTGCCCCTTGGGTGGCGGTCCTCATTAACACTCGCCGCCCGTCTGCTGCCGTCTCCGCGCCCATGGCTGATCTGCTTGGGTGTCTATTGCACGTCTATTGCTTACCCGTCCTTTGCTTACGTGTGCATTATTGCCCCCCTCACTTGCTTGCATGTGCATTATTGCCCCACTCGTTTGCTTGCATGTGCATTACTGCCTCCCCCTCCTTTGCTTGCATGTGCATTACCGCTGCCTCTTCTACTGTACACAAGTACAGCACTGCCTCCGCTCCCTTTAGCTTATTTAATTATTACCGCTTCCCTATTCCCTTAGGTAAACTTGCCTGCTAATCTATCACCGTCCTTTGCTAACCCGGTCCTCATCATCCTTTCCTCCCCCTTTCCCTCTCTGTCTCTTCCCTCTGGTTTGCTGTCTTATCTGCGATTGCGCATGGCCTTGGCCTGGCAGCTCACATGACGGCGATCTTATCTTCATTCGACATCAACACCTGCAATTAACCCCCGAGGCGATCCTCTGATTTCACCTTCCAAGACACCCGAGTCGCCACTGGAGACTGTTCGGAGCAGCTGACATGCAGTCAATGAAATGCATACCGTAACTTGCCGGGTTTCCTCACCGCTGGTTATGCAAGTCATGCTTTCCCCCCTCCCACCCTACCCTTCCTCCAGGGGCGTGTGGCAGGGCTTGCTTATATTTCTTAACCTTGCATGCACTCCCGCTTTGGATCGATGCCAATGATTCAGCTGAATTGTCAACAGCTAATCGTCCACAAACAATGGTTGCAATCACCTTTCTTATGAACAGCGCCATCTGTTATATATCGGCGTAAGCAAGTTAAACCGAACACTGCGCCAACCATTATCTTTTCCGTAAAAGAGGTTTGCATCCGGTCACTAAACACACGGCCTCTTGAAAACACCGATTCATTTCATAGCGAGAGTCGTCTTCCTTATAAACCTGCTTTTTAATCAATTACAAACTTGGTGTAACGTCCTAAGGGTTGTGCAAATTGTAAACACTAAATAAATAAATGAACAAATATAATTTTATAAAAACTGAGCTTAATATTCAATCACCTGTAGCGAATCAGTAACCTAATCAACCATGCATTTACGTGAGGTTCGTATGTGTTAATGTTCAGAGTTAATGACCTTATATGAAGACCCGCTCCAAAATCGTAAATATATCCATGTCAGAAGATTTATGGTTATACGATATAAACAACATGCTTATTCCCCATTCTCTTGTGAGTGGAGACAGTGCATCCCTTTCACTGATATTGTTAATATATAAACTGTGCGTGTTTTGTCACTGTGTTTGGTTATGTGCATCCATATTTGTGTACATTTATACATGTTTATATGTAAATATATAAATACACTTATATATGTGACACGTATATATGTATATACGTATACGTATAAACGTATACACATATACATACAGACACTCACTTCACGTGTTTGCTGTGTTTTTCACAAGCAATAACTCAGAACTATATTAATAATCTATAAAACTTATCTGTGTAGCTTTCAGTTAAAAAATCCATCATGTGGACTCATCGAGTTGCAACCAAGAGTGAGTGTCAAGTGTCAGTGCGGAGGACAGAAACAGGGTTGCGTGTACTTACGTTGAATTTCTTCTCATGTCGGAACCGATTGTAAATCTTGGCGATTCGGTCGTAAGTTTCGTCGGCGATGAACTGGTACTGGGCGTTGAGCTTGTCCAGCTGCTGAGCCACATTCTCTTCCCCACTCTGGATGCGAGGCCTCTTCCTTAGGCTCGCGTCCAGACTAGGGTGTACCTCTTCTAGACTTGCCTTGTACTGGGACAGGCGCAAGTCATAGATCTACAGAGGGTGTTGTAAATTAGTGGAGGTTAGTACTTGTTATTATTATTTTGGGTTACGAAGCATGTTCTTTTTTTTCTTATTTTGGTTGCTGTGAACAGAATTAGCGATAGAGAGAGAGACAAAGCCACCGAAAGCAAGTTATAATAACTAAACCAACATTACTCTGATTACATTATATTTACATGCCAATTTATTATTCTCAGTTATCCTGTAACAAGGAATGCATGCTTTGAGTAATGAAACTGAAATTTTAATAGAATGTACATGGGAGATATCTGAAAAAGTCATCACCTGGAAAAACCTGCAATGAACTCGAAAACCAAAAAAATCGTTTAATCAATAATCGGATTCAGGTGACGCAAAAATAGTGACCGGATACTGTGATATTTTTTTGGGTGCTAAAAATGTACGTGTGTGCCTGTGCTTATGTGAAACATACCTTGGCTTCCCGTATGAATCGGCCGCCAAGGGTATTTACATGTTCTATGCTTGTTTTCTTCGCTATAATTTTCATGTACATGCTCTGTAAAGAGAAGGTATTAGCATTAATACCCTGGAAAGTAAGACAGATGGTAAATCCTGGAAAAGATGAAGATAAACAATTACAATTACACAAACAGTCCGTGTCCTTCTTCTTTGTCTTCAGTCGAGACCTGAAAAGTCAAAATTTGGGTCCGGCGATCCTTCGTTCAGGGGCGCAAGGGCTTAAGGATACAGGATTTCGAGGGGAGTTTTGTGGGGTAGGAGTTTGTGATAGCATTTGGTTACCGAGTTAGTACTGAAAGGAAATACAGTTGTAGAATAAAATGGGAGAGTTGAAAATGTATATTTTCTATATTTTGGGGGGATGTGATAAGGATATTTTTTTGAAAAAAGAATCCCACGAGTTAAAAAAGAGCAGAACCGTATCTCTGTGAGAGCAAGGGATTTGCAAGAGAGAGAATATTGACAGAAAGAACAGATTTTTTGCTGTATGGAGGGCTTCGGCTTACCCTCAACCTCTCTAGTTCTAGCTCGGCCTCAGAAGGTCCGAGGTCTTCAATCTTCTGGTTGCGGAGGCCAGTCTCGAAGTCGCTGAGGTCCACCTTCTCCACATCATGGCCATTGCGGTACTTGGTGAGGAGTTCGCATGCAGCTTCACAGCTTCGCAACCTGGGTCAATCAAGCAAGGCCTTTCAAAACAGATCCACTTGATTTGTGTTATTTTACATTTAATATAGAGGGAAGTACCGGTAACAACATAATGTGGTAAAACAGACCCTGAGAAGTCTGAGAAAGCTAACCTTTCAATAATCTGCGAGCAGATGTTCTCCCAGCGCATGCGCAACTTTCTCACGTCCTCCTCTAATCTGTCTACATCCGGGTGGATCTTCTGACTCGGTCTCGACTTGACTACAAGTGTGCGTACATTGCGACACTCCTCTAGGAGGCGATCAATCAACACCTGTAGGAGAAATTTTTGTTTGGGGTTTATTTTCTTTTGGTGCCTTGTTGTAATTGAAGGGAATGGTTTCTAAACTTTCTAAAATAAAATAAAAAACTATAGCTGCAATACATACCTGATGATCTTGGACAATCTGCTGGATGTCGAGGAGTTCCTGGTGAACTCGCTCCAAGTCATCGAGTTCGTCAGGCAGGTCCTGGTGCTCAGCAAGCTTCAACTCAACCTCGGACACGACTTGGGTTCCCTCCTCAATACCAGTCACAACCATCTCGACACACTTCATTCTATAAAATAAGTTAAAAACAAGCGTCTTTATTCCTAGAGCAAAATATTCGAAGGCACTTTCTGGCATCGACACGTGACACTAATTACTGCATTCCGAAGCTAAGTTTTGTTTCCAACCAAGCGTAACGTTCCATAAAGGTGACATACCGTTCGATATACACATGCGAGAGGGCCCAGATGCGATCCCATTGTTGTGTGATGGACTCGACCTGGCGTTGTATGGCAGGCGTTCGTCGGGTCAAGTTCTGGTAGTTCTTCTGGATGCTTTCAACCTGAGGCAAGGGCAGAAAATACCATGATCAGTAATCCGTAGAAACAACTCTATCTAACAACCTATCTATATAGCTATTTAGCTGTACATCTATCAACCTATCTATCTACCACCTCTCTCCCTCTCTTTCTTTCCATCTGTCTGTCTATCTGTGTCTGTCTGTCTGTCTAACTATCTGTCTGGTCTATCTGTCTGTGTCTATCTGTCTGTCTGTCTGTCTGTCTGACTATCTGTCTATGTGTCTGTCTGTCTGCTGGTCTGACTACTATCTGTCTGTCTGACTACTATGTGTCTGTCTGTCTGACTATCTGGTACTGCTGTCTATCTGTCTGTCTGACTCTGTCTATCTGTCTGTCTGACTATCTGTCTATCTATGTCTGACTATCTGTCTCTGACTATCTGACTATCTGTCTGTCTGACTATCTGACTATCTGTGTCTGACTATCTGTCTATCTGGACTACTATCTGTCCTGTCTGTCTGTCTGTCTGTCTATCTGTCTCTCTATATCTGTATTTCCGTCTATCTATCTGTATTTCCGTCTATCTATCTGTATTTCCGTCTATCTATCTGTATTTCCGTCTATCTATCTCTATCTATCTGTATTTTCGTCTATCCATCTATCCGTCGATCTATCCGCTATCCATTCGTCTCCTCCCTCTCCCTCTCCCTCTCCCTCTCCCTCTCCCTCTCCCTCTCCCTCTCCCTCTCCCTCTCCCTCTCCCTCTCCCTCTCCCTCTCCCTCTCCCTCTCCTCTCTCTCTCCCTCTCGAACCGCACAGCATCATCGGCATCCTCACCTCCAGCTCATGCGAGGAGAGGTCGTTCTCGAATTGCTTGTGCTCGATGACCAGCTGCTCAAGGAGGTCCAGGTCCCGCGGAATGGCAGCAAGGCACCGTTGGATGAGCGTCTTCTCCATCATGTCGAGGTACTCCTTCAGGCTGCTGCACTGGTCGGACAGCACTGCCCCTGGCTTGGGTTCTGGAGGGAAACACAGCGTAATCATTCTTTTTTTTGTCCAAATCCAGTCTATAGTAGATAAGATAATAAAAAAGAACAGATAGTTGTACATCTCTCTTGGGGAATTTAGAAAGCAAATGTATGAATCACTTTTAATGAATAGATTTGTATTTGGTCTACTCAACCCCCCTAAATTCATATTTTTAAATGCTTTGCAAAAACATTTAAATTCGAAGAAAATGTATTTATGCAAAGTTAGACTACCGTGAATATACAAGCTAAGGTTAAGCAATGCAGCCCCAGGTAGTCTGGTTCCAGTTTTCTATTTTTCGACGAGAGAGGGGATACTATTTCAAACATGACTCACGCAAGGCGTATACTTCGTTTTATCGTCACTTCATCGTTGTTTAAACATCAACTTAAGGCTTTATCTACATTATTACAAATGAAGGGAAATGTGACGGGAGAGAATGCCACGACAAGCACTGTTCGAGGTAAATTCAACGCCAGAGACAGACATCATAGTGTAAAGTTACGACGGTCGTCTCAAGTGGTTTTATTCCAGGCGCTCCAATGTCATTTACTCGGCCGCAGCTCAGCGTCTCAGTATCTAAACTGCAATCAAATTCATCTTGAACAGCAATAACATGCAATTTTCCATTTGATTAAAATACTAATGAAATCGCAAAATAAATTATAACTATGTTTACATTTTGATAAACCCATGACGCGATAGAGTACATTACATTGGTGTCTATCAAGGAAAAATATTGGTAAGCAAACATACTGTAGACGTCTTATACAAGTATTATTACAATTTATGTCTATACTTAACTGCCCCGTTATTTAATTTTAAAAAATACTTCCTTGATCCATCTGCATGACAAGTCTCGAACTACGCAGGTGTGGCCAGACAGCGGAAAGAAATCAACATCGCTCAAATGCAAAACACATTTTACCTTCTCTAGACACATCCGCTTCGTGGAAAGACGAAGAAAATCCACTTTCATTCAGATTTCCTGTTTCGTCGAGATTTTCTGAGGTTTCGAAGAAGGGCTCGTCGTTTGCACTGCCCTTCTTGTCATCGTGGCAACTGCATTTGCACTGTGCATTCTCACACACTTTAGAATTCTCCGCTAAAACGACTTTGTGGAGGAACAACACGGTTCCCTCGAGGTATCCTTCGGTATCCTCGGCTGCTTTCTTTAATCTACATTTAAAAATCTTCCCTTGAGTGTCCCAGATCTGCCCCAACACAGACATATACCCGTACGGCGGAATCATCGTGGACTTTTCACAACCGAAAATATCACAGCAACGTAAAGACAAAACACACACAAGGCTTCTTTTTGGCACACACTACGGTTTCAACAAAGAAAGCTATTCCCGACGCTAAATATCACAAACGGTGTTTAGAGAATGCAGTGGAAGCACCAAGGAGGAGCGAATGACTGACAACATGACTGGAGGGAAGCAGCCATGTTGGAAAACTCTAGACGACGTCCACCAGTGCTGCCCTCTCTCGCACTCTCGCACTCTCCCTCCCTCTCCCTCCCTCTCGCTTGCTCTCCCTTCGAGTTCCCGTTTTCTCTCGGAAATCAATCCAGACTGCAGTCCCCGCCTGAGTCATCATACAGCTGCATTATTTCAACAGGACAACAACATCCCTGAGACGGTACGGGGAAACTTAGCGTGAGGGCAGCATGGGTGAATGTACAAATGTACAAAAATGTACGCATTTTGTTATAACATACTGATTCCAATATCACCCACTGCATGTGAATTTCCAGCAGTTCTTGACACCATGTATATGGATTATCTAGCGAAACACACACACACACAAATAATCGTTGTTTTACCGTTTATATATACATAGATTTTTCTCTCTCTCTCTGTCTCGTACGGAAGCAAAGCAATGTACAGTCAACATTTAAAGGGGGCACTATCATATTTCTAAAGGACATACTACTTCATCAATATCTCCCAGCGTGGAACAACACCATACATCATCATATATATTTGAAAGGTTAACACTCACCGGCTGCACGACGCTCAAATTCATCGAAGAGTCTGTTGACTTCATCGATCTCTCGCTTCAGTCGTCTCAGCTGAGGATCGTTCGGGTCTCCTTCTTGGATCAATTTCTCAGCGTCTTCGTTCAGCGCCTTACGGATGGCATTGCGCTGCTCTGCTCCCATCGCAATGAACTGTGGAAAAAGAGGTAATGGCATATCTTTTATTTGCAAAGTACTATATCATTATATTTTCGATGTCCTTTACACACCACAGATGATATGTTAGGGAGGATCATATTTTAAAGCATTTATTCATGGGTGGAAAAAATGACATAGTTCTCGAAGAAATTTACCTGGGCAAGATCCCAGCTCTTCACAACCTTGATGGTAGCAAAGATCATGTTCTGACGCATGCGCAGCTGTTTCTTCTGCCACAGGGCGATGCACCTCTCGTACTGGCGCTTGAGCTTTTCGGCGGCGTCGACGGCCTCCTGGTTGGGCGGCGGGATGGTGAAGATGATGGCTCTTCAGCCTGGTTTGGCCGCTGCGTATGGACCCTGTGAAGATGACGCCTTGTGAGAAAATCACACAGCCCCTGTTTGGTCCCTCGTCAGATGAAGATCAAACAAGGAAGCGCCGAACCGCCGTATTTCGAGCTGCCACGAGCTTGTCACACCCGTAGCATGAACAACAGCAACAGGAGTCAACGCGCTCTCACGTGATGCGTACGCTGGACATGCTAGGGCGTCTGGGTCCATGCACGTGCACACACGCTCGGCTCTTTGTGAGCTGCCATAGCCGCTGTAGCCACAGGTACAATACGTCAGCTCCGATGCCTGCGAAGCTCTGAACGAAATAACACGAAAGGTGAGTGGGATAAACTCGCTGCGCGATCGCCAACGTGTCTCCGGTATTCACGCTCGATGAGCCCGAGCCCACAAGTGCTTACTGCGAAGTAGTTGGCAGCTATGGCTTGGAGATCTCAACTGCAAGTTCATTTTTGAATGCATGTAGAATGAAACAACTCGGCGACTGTCAATTTTTTTAGCTCGGCGTACTGACAAGGAAACAATATATATACTTACATCTCGAGTCTACCATCAACTTACTTGGTTAGTGGAATGCAGAACTTTGGAGAGTTGACAGATCCTAAGGCTGGTCGTTCAGTATGAATCTTGTTCTGCGTTTCTTCGAAGAGGAAACGGTAAATCAGTAACTGGACTTTTTGCCCTCAGTTGCAAACTCCATCGAAGATTTATCATCCAACATGGTCCTGAGTTGATACTGAGAAGACATTATCTCTTAACCTCGGACCCTGATATCGCATTCGCGCAGTAGAGCTCGTGTCCGCGTGCTATCTGAACAAACGCGCGAGAAGCAACCAGAGTCTGATAAATACGAATTGAGTATGTAGTACTCAGTTGCTCTCATCTGATCACATACATTAATAAAGATAATAATGCCCATTACCGAAGAAAAAATTATTCTTATTTTATTCCCCGATAGTGTAACACATATGATGTAGCTTTCGGATTTGTGCGTTTCAATTCTGAGAGCAACCGAGTGATACTAAAGAGCGAATTTTGCCATCGGTCACACGGTCCGCTGGAAAAGAATACACACAGAAAAAACCGACCTTGTAAAGCAGTGAGAACAAGTCAATTCGGCACCTATGCACATCCACGACATGCGCGGCGGTTAGCCGCTGTACAGATGAGCGAAGAAGGTAGAATCCGCGCCAGCGTTGCGTGCGATCGACGAGCGCGCGCGAAGCGACCAGGGTCCAGCTCCAGGAGCGCCACTGCCAGAGTATCTTCGAGCGTCCAGATGGCCGAGAGCCCAGGTACACGCCTCCCACGGTCGGAGTGTGAAGCGGGAATGGTGTCTGAAGCCTGACCAGGGCTGCGCACGGTCGTTGCACGGTCGCTGAACTGAACACCTCCTTCTTAGAGTTACGTCATCATGATGTTATCTGTGACAGAAGTGGTTAATAACAATAAGAAGATAGATTCGTTTATTTGGAACATATCACTGTAATAGAGAAGATTCATGTACTGTCAGAAAATGAGTTAAGGTATTGGTTTTCCATATAAACCTACTTAGTAGGCAAAATCAATTGATAATAAAGGGCCAGCTTACTCCCTTTTAAATAAGCTATTGATCCTGTCAGTGAAACTAACATTATCCTTGCGAGCTAATTGAGCCTTGTCCTGTAACTGAGAACGCTAGATTAAGAATGAGCAAAAAAAAAAAGTCTCTTGTTAGCCCAGTCAGCTAGTTTTTCAAGACAACTTGGTTATACCATCGCGAACGATTTACGTTGAGGTGTGCGCGTAGAATGTTGGTTATCTCGCTAGATGTTGACACTAGCCTCGACAGTATGAACAAAATAAGTTGGCTAGGAGAGAGGAACTCGTTTGCATATGGTCTGAAAACTACGACTATTGTCCAGGCTGTGCGGGAAGAGTAAGCTTCTGCGATAAGAGTACTCTATGAACAGCTGATAGTACAACACAGGAATTAGATTGGCTTACTATACTATTGCTTGCTTTCTCGTCACATCCAGCTTGAGTTACTTCTGCGAGAACCAACAAATTCAATTACTCCACAGCCTCACTAGAGTTGATTTCCCATTAAAAACCATTCATACTAAAGCCTATTTCGCCGACAATGACCTAAAAATGATACTACATGCACAACTGATGTTGTTGTCACTGTTCGAAAATAAATCGTCGAACAAGCTTCAGTAAAATAAAAACTTACATTATGCGTAAGGCGAATGAACTGAGTACCATACAGGAGAGATTGTGCGAATGAGAGAATCTTGCAGAAAGATAGAAACAACTCAGATGACGAACAGTTACACTCGGCAGAGGAGCGGAGGGGCGGCGAAGCTGAGCTTCCACACCAGCGGCGCGCCACGCGAAGACGGCGCACGAGACGCAGGCAGTGCGAGACGTCAGAAGCACGGGCGCGGGCGTCCGACAGGCACTGCGTGCGAAGTGCCGCTTTTCACGCCTTAACTTCGGAGCTTGCTTACTACCTCATTACCGAGTTGTGGACACTGCACTTGCGCAATGACTCTATTGGTTTGGCTCCAAGTTCCCTTCTGGTGGCTTCGCCGTACTCCTCTTGCCTTCTGCCCTAGCCAGCTGTCCAGGTATCACTTGCGCGTACTTCGCTGAGTCGTCTCTATAAATTTTATACTAGCGCGGAGGGGTTATTGAAAAATCTTAGTAAGTCCTTATGACGTCTGAGATATCACCACGTAGCTTATTACTTGTTTGCGATATGGCGTAGATAACCTGATATTTTGTTGTAGCGCTCATAACATCACAGAGATGTCTGCCATGTGTATTTCGTGTTTGTAGTAGTGCGAATACATGATAATTACAACTAAAAATCTATCTGCACTTCATGCGAGCCGTTTGTAGTCCTTATTGCTACCAGTCTGTATATTACGAAAAACGTTCCTAGACGAAAACTCGCCGCGCGCGAAAGTGTGCGTTATCACGTATCGACAAGTAGGGATTCGAAACTAATCTAGTGCTCTCTGAGTGGTGAGTGTTGTGAGCATTCTTCGTTTGGGCTCAAAACGATGATATAGTTAAGTTAAATCTGTAGAAAGCAAAGACGAGGCGCGTGTATCGCAACGCAGAGAGAAGCCTAACATCATACCTATCGCGAGTGACTTACCTAGTGTTCATGGTCTAACCTCCTACGCGCGAAAAGATCGAAATTATGTATAAGAACCAGAGTGAAGTAATATCCTTAAATAGATGTGTGGGTAGAGATCCAGGCACTAGTATCGAAGTATAATATAAAACATATGTCCATCATTGCTCCAACCGGAGAATTTGAACCACTATGACATTCATCTTAATAAGCAATGTTCTAAAGAACGGGCGGTTGGGACAAGTGCCCAAATCCCTGCGAGCGACCCCTCTCACACTCCAGGGGTCCACAACCACTCCTATATATATAGTGATACTCCGATGCGGCATACAAGCTAGGTAAAATTCTGATGAAATCCCGGGGTCAGCGCCGAGTTAATCTTTGCGACAAGTCGAGAGGGAGTCGAGGGTATTTAGAAATCGAGAGGATCCATATATATCGCACTGGAGCACTCTTTCGCGAGCCAGAGCAATTCGACATGGAGTTTTTCTCGTTCTTGCGCGAGTCCATGATTGCGTGGGCTCAGCAACCGTGCCGGTCTCACGTTCCGTCACTTCGTCGAGTCTCGTCCATCGCACGACACGAGATCTCCGAACCTCCTCCAGAAGTGAAATTCTCGGTCTGTTCTTGAGAGAATCATACAGTCAGAGCGGTGGCAAAACCTCTATCTATCTCTTCACAGATCCAGTCATAGATGGTCTTATCGAGCACATTGAGCGCGGGTAGTATAAACAACTATTAGAATACTAAACAGAGGTAGATAATCCGTAGCAATAAGGAGAATATTTTCTCTTAACTATTCTGCTAACATAAACTAAATCCCAACTTGAGTAAACATTGAATACGTGCTCAACTGCGCGTCTGACATTGCGAGCGTGCTTTATCTACCACAGTACGATAAAGGAACACGTGATAAGAGCATTACTGTCTCTTGCGCCTGGCAGATGCTACTATCAGCTTGTTCAGCAACTATCGGCGTCGACTTTGTATGCGAGTAATAGGAATGTTTCCGAGGAACCAAAAAACGGCGCGTACAAGGAAGTGCCCTGATGTCCGTCAAGACTTCTGGATCCTCCCGTACAGTTATTCAGAGGACAGTATGTTGTAATTGTCAAGCGCAAGTTTCCACGAAAGGAGATACCCTGTAAGCATCCGCGTGAAGCATACGATGTTAGAGAGAAAGAGAGCGGTCACGACCAAGCGGAGTGAGGAGTGATCTAGAATAATGATGATGATGTATGATAATAATATATAATAATAATAATAATAATAATAATATAATAATAATAATAATAGCATCTTCAGTACACTAATAAGAGATAAAAAACCTATTTGAACACGTACATGAGACATAACGAACTTCTATATACAACACATGAGATGAATAATCCTGTGTTCAATCACACTAAAGAACGAATTGGGAGAAACTCAATCTACAGCTGACAGCTACAGAGAAAAAGAGCGATGATACCCGATACGAGTGGATAAATACACTCGCAACCGTCACAACTAATCCAACTAACTTATCATTTAGATATAATTTATACAGTAGATCAAACGACTCAACGCATCGCTCGCCTTCCACTGGCTCTGTGTTGCTTAAACACGCATCGTATAGGGTGCGGATCAAAAACGATACGTTTACTATTGCAGGTCCTGAGCTGAGAGTGCATTTGATAGGGGTGGCGTCTCCGTACAAAGTAGTATGGGCAGGTTGTTCGAGGGGTACTCCAGTGCGAAATAAGACAGAGGAAAAGTCGGTGGGCACAACTCTTATTATCTACCGGTAGCGGCTGCATTGCTGTAAAACCTTAGCCTTTGTAAGCACTTGCGTTGTCGCGCATGACACCCATTTATGCCAGATACTATAAATGTTTTCTATATCGAAGCTAACCATATCGTATCATTATTGCGTATCACACACATATCCTACAAAATATGATAACATTAGCTAATGAGTTGAAGCTAGACACCAATAATACCAATATATCTTACATACAGTTAAAAACAAATGAAGAACATGCCATCATTTGAGCATATAGCACTTACAAAGTTAGTAAAATCCAACCACTAGAAAGAATAGGAGAGGTGGCATCTGGGAAGGATCTCAATAGAAACCTTCAGATCAGCGTTCTTTACGTTAATCTTAAATATTCGATATTTCTCGTCTGCGTAGAGGATCCGGGGAGTTTTAGCAACAATAAACTGATCGTGGAAATGATGTAGCGTCATAGATTCTTACCTACACACACAGTCAGAACCTTCGGAGTCAAAATGACCCATCGGACATTGTGTCATAGAGCCGACCAGACTGCGTCAGGCGCTAAGTACTAACACAGAGAGCTACCTGGGTATACGGTAAAACATATGAATGGAGAGAACATAGAAAAGAAAGCGCATACTAAACCCAACCGTAAACAGGATGTCCTTCCTGTAGTGAACGAGCCAATCTCAAACGAATACTCTTTCACGACGCGAGAATACTGGAGAAGACACCCTTAAAAGGAGACCTAACTCATTACCGGAGTCAACTAACGTGTCACCACGAGACTAACACTATTCAGCAACCTCGACAACGACCGCACCGTCTCCTCGCATAGCTGGAGGTCGAGCATGCGCGAGCATGGAGTAGAGACCCTGTAAGCGCGAAAGGCACGCGTGCGACGTGACCCGTAAGAGAACGTTTGGCAGCGGCTCCTCCCGACGGTGAGTCATATCGAGGCGGCGGCGGCGGCGCGTGTGTCCGCCCTCACCTCCCTGCCCGATGCTTATCTCGGCCCCATCCTCACCCTTTCTTCCACCTTGCCCGCCAGCGTTCTCGCCTCCTCCTACTCGCCTTGCCTTATCTCTCTGGTGTATTATTTCCCCATTTTTGGAAACCGTCGTTTTAATTCCATCCTCAGCGCCCCTTGTTCTTCGTTTAATTTTGTTATGAACATTACATTTTTCACCAGCGCTACTCCCGTATCGCTCCTCTCGGTCCCAGCCAGCGCATGGCGGCCAAGGTCACGTGGGACAAGAGCCCTGGCAACACAGCCGGCCAGTACTGATCATTACATATTTGTCTCGCATCCATATATGAATGCCGGCGCGAGCTTTACATTCACAGCCCGGCGTCGCTATAATGTCACATAAACAGACAGGTTTTGCAAAAGCGACAGACCTCTCCGTGCGGTGGCGAGAGCTCCCAGGAGTAGCACTTAAGGGGCGAAATTCCCTTGCATGTCACTGATAATCGCATCTGTTGGGCTACTGTATTTTGTTTTATCTTTGTCCTAAAAGTAGACATCGTTTTTTTCTGCCAAAGCATATCCAAAAGTAGCAAAATGAGCCCCGACCCAACATCCCGCCCCCACCCCTTCCCGCCCGTGCGGCCACAGCTCCAGGCCTCCCGACTCACACAAACCCGAAAGCCTCCGAAAGTACTTAAAAGGGAAGCCCCGAACCCCCGGTCTCGTAAACACAGCGTCTCGCCGGATAATTTACTACCTGTACATCCCACTCTCATCGCGCATCAACGGCGTGTGTCCTTTTTCGGCCATCGGGCATAAAATAACTCGTCGTGGCTCCTCCCCTCCCCCTCCCACCCTTCCCACCCTCCCGGTTCCCCTTCCTCCCCCCGCCCAATCTCGCACTGTGGCCCTCGGTTAGCTCGTCCGCCGCTCATTCAATATCTTCATTTCACTTGGACTTTAAAAGTCTTAAGATATGGGCATTGCCTAAATCGTCCCTTGAGCTTTCAAGCTAAAAATACATCAACATTTATTTTCATTGTACGCGCGCGCGTGTGTGTGTAAGCGTAAGTGTGCGTGCGTGTGTGTATGTGTATGTGTATGTGTATGTGTATGTGTATGTGTATGTGTATGTGTATATATGTGTGTGTGTGTGTGTGTGTGTGTGTGTGTGTGTGTGTGTGTGTGTGTGTGTGTGTGTGTGTGTGTGTGTGTGTGTGTGTGTGTGTGTGTGCGTGTGTGTGTGTTGCGTGCGTGTGCATGCGTGCGTGTGCGTGTGTGCGTGTATGTGTATGTGTATGTGCATGTGTGAGTGTGTGTGTGTGTATTCACAAACCACCATTTACTCCTCTCCCATATCCCTATACTCATTTCTTCTTCCTTCGTAACCCCCGCTTCCTCCGTTTTCTCTCTTCCCCCGCCTTATTCCCAGAATCAATCGCTGGACTGTGAGCGTGTACTAGAAAGGGCATGATGTATGAGTCACCCTCGACACAACAGGCACATAATACTTTTCTTCGTACCCCCATCATATATCAACAGACGATCAACATTAAGCTGCATTCAATTTTCCTGCAATGGCAATAAATACAATGCGAATGGCTAGCAAGATTAATCGTTGAAAAAATGAAACCTTAATCCTCCATTCATAAACAACTGCCCCCGACATCAACGCGCCACAGCTGACAGCGTAAACAAACGGGTCACATCGCACGAGGCAGCTCCTTCATTCCCAACGCCGGCCGCGTGCATCCTCGGGGGTAAACGGCCTGCACAAACAAGCAAATCCAAGCTATCCCTAAACGTATCACGCCCACGCCCAAAATGCGGTGCAAAAACTGGCTCTGGGTCACCAGGTCCTCGGCCTAACCGCCTAAATAAGGATAAAAGTGAAAGTCACCCATCGTGTATAGTGAGTGTTTGTGGGGAGGGGGAGGGGGAGGGGACCACACTGGCGACACGGCCCCCTCAGGTGACAATAAATCAATATGTCTCTTTAACAAAAGTGTAATTCAAAACATTTTTGTCACTGGGGTCGTATGTATATGTATAAACAGGTCGTTAAATGGTTCGCTGCGGTCAATCTACCCTGTTAAACGACGTGTAGTGTGTCAGTGTTGAACAGGTGTGGGATTCTATGGCGGCAGTTCAAACGGCGAACATGTTCTCGGCTGGCGATTTCCGATCTCCTTTCAGTTACGTCATTGTAGACTAATCCAGAGCTAATCGCACCAGAATAGGCAATGGTTTACTCACAGAGAAACTCTACTTGCTTAAGCCATGCAAGGGTCCATAAAAACAGATAACCTATTGTTGGCAACTGCTTGAGAGCGCCCCTTCTATGGCCGAACAAGTATTTGTAAGATGATTCTACAAAACCTTTCTTTGCACCCCCACCCCCACCCCCCACCTGGACACCGCCTCTCCACCACATGGATGCTCATTTTCGTCTCACTCAAGACCAAAGAGCATTATGGGTTTAATAGGCGATACCATGGAAAAAACGTACCCCAAAACAATGTTGAGAACAGATAAATTATTAGACTTAAATATTAGAAATTAATAAACATAAAAAGCCCGAGGTCCCCACGCAATTACCCCGCCCACTAAATGAACGAGCAACCCAAATTAATTACTCATTACTACACCCAAACAAGTCGCCTTGGCTTTAGGGCGTCGCGAAATCTACCACTCATCATGACTCAGCCAATCGAGCTGTAAAACGGCAGATTGCGGAGGGAGGAAGGAGTGAGTGACACTCTGTCCCTCTTGCCCGCCTCATTCGCCCAAACACTCGATGAGTCAGTTCCTCCACTCACTCATTCTCTCTTTCTCTTCCTCTCCCTCTTCATCTCCTTCCCCACTGCTTTGTTTAAATTGACATGCCCTCCCTGCCGTACCCTTCTCTGATCCTGATTATCGGCTCCGGTCTCTTGGTGAGAGTCAGCAATGACGACAGCCTCAAAATAACATGATTCTGATGCGCCTCGCCTCGTTCCTCAAACAGTCGTCCACGTCGACGTTTATTTTACGACCCAATAAGACTCATGACATTCCCTTCATCTGTTTGGGTCCAATAATTATGTAGGCGTTGAGGTGGGCTGGACTGTACATACACTAGTTTAGACTCGCGCCGGCGTGGGTGTGGGTGTGGTTATTGGAACGGTAGTTTAAGGGAGGGCGTAGACAGGGCTTTGTAGTTCACATGTTGATCCCCGAGCCGAGCTGCCTTGGTTATTCCTGGAGGGGCGTAGGCTTTTTGTTCTTATCTGGCGTGGTCAAACCTTCAACCTCAAACAGACAGAACAAAAAAACTATAATTCAACTCCCACCGTACCCCACAGCTGATGACGTCACCGCCTTCAAGAAAGACAAACGTGCCCCAAACCTACAGAACAGTTATCGCCTTAACCCTAAGCCCCCACCGGCAGTCTCCTATAACCCCGAACAGGCGAGCAAAGCCAGTAAACTCAACACAAGCCCAATGAAACCCCAAACACTTCAGCACCAGAAGTCGAAACCCCATCAGCCCTCCACTCTAACCCCTCTAACCACCCCGCCATCTCGGCCCCTCGCCCCCCCCCCCCCCCCCCGCACTCCCTCACAGGCACCTCGGAGAACTCACCTTCAGGGTCGAGAAGTCGTGTGACGCCGTACTCGCGCTCCATGACATTAAAGGCTGTTTCCAGTCGCTCTCTGGGAGACCTCTGGCGGAGGGCACGCCAATCAACCAGGTCGGGTCTGTCGGAAGGAAGAGAGAAAAGGGAGATTAGCAATGGTGGAATTCCGTGATCAAAGGATCTCCGTTGGGAAAGCTCTCATCATGAATTCGTTAGTAAACACAAATAAAGCAATCGACTTAATCTATTTTTAGTCTTTCTATTTTTGTTCTTTCTATTTTTTGTTATCATGTTAAAATCTTAATGAGAATGACTCCAATAACTCAACTTCTCGGAAACCTCAACATGACACAAGCTTAAAAATAACTTTCTTTCACGTGCTAAAACAATGTTCCACGGATTTTACGTTTCATGGATGAAATCTTATCCATAATGATCTGAAAAAAGGAAAATCAACTGCCTGGAAAATGACGAAGTAAATCAACACAGTTCAGAGGTCAGAAGGAGCAAGAGTAGATACAGTGGCCTTAGCTCATGTTTATACAGCACATGCAGGTAGACATGCAAGGTACCAGACAGGTCTACTTACACATTCAACACACACCTGTAACCAACACACTCCGGGGAAAAAAACAAAACGTAATTAAAATATCCACGTATATCGGAAGCCAACTGAAGGATTAAAATGGAGAAAAAACGTAAATACAATTATCCAGGATATTTAAAAAGGGCATTTAGCAATCCTTCTTTCGAAAGATGAATATCAAAATGACTCGGCACATTCTGAAGAGTTAAAACAGAATGCAAAAACCTCGAAGACGTGAAGGACGGAGGGAGGGACAGGGCACTAACAGGGGATAGAGAGACAGGTAGAGGGGGAGAGCCAAGGACCCTAAGATGGGGCACCAGTCACCGCACGCCCACACCCGCAGCACGCACGCCCTCGCCAGCATTCCTCGTCAGCCTACGCCCACATTCCATTAGACGCTCGGCGAACCGCTCTCATTGTGAAAAACACACACACCTTGCTAATCGTTCGCCAGCCCACGGTCATGAATATATTCACATTTTTTTTCTAAAGCAGACGCTAACTCCCACTAATATCTACATGCACATTAATACATTTACTGACACTACTCAACCACACATTGAAACATACAATGCATGAATATCAATGCAAGTAAACGAAACAAATACACATACACACAACAACTGACACATACACATCCTTCTCTATACGAAACGTTCTTCAGCCCCTTCGACTTTTCCCCCCACACACAGGCCACGAAAATAAAGCGAAACTCCGTGCCAAACCCCCATTCATTGACTTTTCGGCTGCTCCCAACCTCTGACTGAAGCAATTTCACACAAAAAGCGGCTGGAGTAATAAGGCGTGATCACTTAACAAGCCTCGCCATCACCGCAAACACACTCTGGAAGCCCCTGGAAGCCCCTGCAAGCCCCCGCCACCGCAACCAGTCAGTCGTACCACCTACACAGGCAACCGTCTAATGGCATCCTTCCCTGGGTACTAGGCATTCTACAGTATTACTATGCACTGTCTGGCAACAAACAGGAGTTCCTGACAATCTAATCAAAGACTGAAATGTACTAAGTCACAATCACACTCTCCATAATTTACAACAGCCATCCATCTTAGTCTACAGATAATAGCTTTAATACAAGTAATATTCAAGTATTATTCGTCTTTTCTTTACTGAAGATTAAAACTACTGTACAGTATTCAGGGTAGGGCTTTTCCATTCAGGTTTTGTTTACGCTAAATTTACAAACCGGAAGGCAGTCTAAATAGCCTTGAACTATGCATATACATTCATTCATTCATTCAAATTCTCTCTCTCTCTCTCTCTCTCTCTCTCTCTCTCTCTCTCTCTCTCTCTCTCTCTCTCTCTCTCTCTCTCTCTCTCTCTCTCTCTCTCTCTCTCTCTCTCTCTCTCTCTCTCTCTCTCTCTCTCTCTCTCTCTCACTTCACTCACTCACTCACTCACTCACTCACTCACTCACTCACTCACTCACTCACTCACTCACTCACTCACTCACTCACTCACTCACTCACTCACTCACTCACTCACTCACTCGCAAATTGCACATTACCAACATCTACCCGAGCACAGCCCCGCCGTTCGAGCTCGTACCAGCGCAACATTTCCCTTCTAAAAGGCAATGGCCCCCAAACTAAAGTGCACAAAAGGACACCATTCCTCACGGCAAGCCTGCACCAGGAACAAGAGTGCACAGATCACCAGGGGGAAGGGGAAGGGGAAAGGGAGGGCGTGGAGGGGGGGGGGGGAATAGGAGGGGAAACCACGGTATAAGTATTGTGACAGGGTTTCGGGGACCCCCCTAAAAAAAATCAGGAGGTGGTGGGGAGCCGGGAGGGAGGGAGGGAGGAGGGAGGAGAAGGGAGGGAGCTGGGGAAGAGGACTTACGGCGCGGGCTCAGGACCCCCTCCGCCAGACCCTTTGGAGGCTTCATTCCTGGAGGCGCTTCTGCTTCGGATGACCTCGCTGGAGGGGAAGAAGACATGGTGACGTCACGAAAGCCAGGTCAAGTCAGGTGTTGGGCGTGACCCGCCTGCTCTCGCTAACACTTACATACACTACTGCTATGGCTGGACTAGTTAGTGGGCAAGAGACCAGCAGCTGTGGTCGCTATTAGCTTCGTTTAGTTACCTCTGAGAAAATCATCTGAACATGCACTCCTCTAGCCCTAAATGTAAGAAAAAAAGCTTGAGCCAAAAAAAAAAAATGATAATAATAATTAATGAGCAAGTTAACATCTAGTTTAATTCCTCTTTATTATTTACAGAATTTGTGAAATAAGCAAGCGGGAAGTGTTTAGATAAGACTAGAAACAAGGAATGAGTAAACCAATGGTCAATACCGAGGAAATGTTTTGAGTTACCAAACATGCAAATCAAGCAGACACAAGGGGAGGCTACGAAAATAATGACAAAAAACAAGGATGATGATGATGATGATGATAATTATGATGATAATAATAATAATAACAATAACAATAACAATAATAATAATAATAATAATAATAATAATAATAATAATAATAATAATAATAATAATAATAATAATAATAATTAATAATAATAATAATAATAATAAATAATCATAATAATAATATACTACTACTACCTTTCCAAATAAAAAAAAACATTAATCAATAACCAAAATTCCTGAAACCTGCACCCCAAGCACAACCCTCCTAAAAGCACTATCGCTTACTACACTAACTCTAAGCACAAGAGCAAACAGAGGAACAGTAAAAATAATCATGCGAGAATTGTGAGGGGGGGAGAGTTGTCGTGCCTGACGCCATGCATGGGGATAAAGCGCGTTCCTCTGTTCCCTGTTCAAGATAAAAGCTGACTTTGCAACTCTCGTGATCAGGCTGACCTTACCGGACTCCTCCACAACGGGAAAAATATCTATTGTTCTCGTCCTCTCTTCGCTGTCTATGTCTGCCTCCCTCGTTATCCCCCAACCCATCCTTGCTTGCGCATTCTTACAGACCTCAAAAGTTCATTAGTCCAAAAAAACTATTCTCGTCTACTATCTCCTCTTTACATTACTATCTCCTCTTTACATCTATCAGCTGTTTACACGTAATCTCCCCATTTTACACCCGTTAACTCCCCTATCATCATCTCCGCGCCACGCTAAACAATCCTCCCCAATTCGCTATGAAATTTTACACAAATATCCGTCCTGCTCGAGACGAGTCGAATCGGCCTCTTTCCCTGAGCGCCCGTCCCCTTAGAGCATGGAAATGGAGAACAAAGGGAAAAACAACAGACAGTGATATACGACACAACCTTATCTTCAGCCTGAGGAACCATTACGGTCGAAAATCCCTAGACAGAGGATAAGTCTTCGGGACAAGATGCTGTCATGCAAGAGAGATAGCTTGTGGTAAATCAGACAAAGGATTTTTTGAAGTGTGTTAACTTGAAAAGCAAATCTTAACCGAAGAAAAAAAGAGAGAAGTGTGTAAATAATGCATTAAATATTGCAGCCAAATCGTGAAAATGTAAATTGCAGTTAATGCTAAAGAAAACAAGGAAAATGTCATGTTATTCGTCCGATGGGATGGGAACAAGGGGGCAGGTCAAAGGGGTTAAACAGGGAGGGATAAGCAAGGGATACAACAAAGGGAAAACAAAACGAAGGACACGGAGGAGAAAGGAAAGGGAGACAGAACTGCTTTGAAAACGTATTCAATTTTTGGGCGAGACAGGACACCCAACTAACCTGTTCCTATGAATGATGGCGACGAAGGCGAGGCCGTCCCTCCAGGAGGTGGTGAAGTTCTTGACGTCGACATTGGGGTACTTGTGGGTAGTGAGGCGCGCCCACCGCAGCAGCGCCTCCTTGGCCGTCAGGTTTTCCTCCTGACCCACCATGATATCCGAGATCTGGAAAGGGGAGGCGAAGGGAACGGTTGTAGTTCACTATAGAATACGGTGATGCGATGGCGGTATGATGGTGATGTGATGGTGTGATGATGTGAAAAAGCGACGAGAGAAAACGCTTTTGGTTTGCTCTCTTGAGAATAAAAAAATGTTTGAGACATAGCCTAAGACCTTGCAATTATGAGAACGGGTAACAAAGCCCTATTTCTTCCTTCTAAAACAAGAAACAATTATATCCCAACGGTGTTTCCGCGACAGAGAAGCAGCCATATTCATGATCGAAGGCAGACCTCTCCTCTCCTCGTTCACATCATTTCCCTTTCTTTTGGGGTCACGTGACCACGAAGGCCATCCGAAAGTAGCGGTCCTAGAAAGGACAAGTTTTGCAGCCGAGTTGGCATCGTTGAGTCATGCACCGGCCAGGATACTGGGTCAAAGGTCGGCTTCTGACTTGTGACGTCATCGTATATTGACCTGGAGGAGCCTGGAAGTCACGCTTGCTCCTTGCCGCTCCTCCTAAGAGATGACTTCACAATCGAATACAACCAAATACGTTTATTTGTTAGTTATTTGCTCTTGTTTATCTACGTACATGAATGCGTATACACGTAAGCGAACACCAACCGCCTATCCTCCAAAGAAAACAACCGGAAAAAATCAGCATCGTTCGCGCAGCCTGCAAAGATGCAGAACCCTCCCCTCGGGCCGACGCGGCAGCCGGAACACGGTAATTTAGTGTCGAACGAGCCGCCATCCCGTCAGGAGCAAACAAAGAGGCCCGAGGATGATGTCAGGCGGAGAATACGCTCGCCTCTTCTCACTCAGCCACCGTGTTTCCTGCACGATCCCTCTCCTCTCCTTCGTAATGGTCCTCATCATCATTCTCTTAATCCTTCTCTTCCTTGTCCCTTATCGCCCTTTCCTCCCTTCCTTCTCTAAGTCCATTTCTCACACGTTTGTCTCCCTATCTACTCACTCCCTTCTTTCCCTCTCAATTCCCTTTCCCATCCCTCCAACCCTCCATCTAAGTCTCTGTCCCTTGTCTCAGTCTCTCCCCCTCCCTCTCCACCCACGCACAATCCTTTACCCGCCCCTCCACCTGCTTCCCTCCGTGTTCCCACAATGATGCAGCCACCCTGCATGACACGCCCAATTCTCTTTCCTTCTCCATTAACAATTAAAAACCTTTCCCATGTCAGAATGAAAACCACGAGGGGGAAAAATACAGGAGACATACATGCACAGACGCAAAATAAACAAACATCAACTCACTCTATCCTTCTATCCCTCTCTACCTCCTTCAATATATCCCTATTTTTCTTCGCTCTCAACCACTCGCTCACTCGTCATGATTCTCTCAAAATGAAAACCACGAGGGGGAAAAATACAGGAGACATACATGCACAGACGCAAAATAAACAAACATCAACTCACTCTATCCTTCTATCCCTCTCTACCTCCTTCAATATATCCCTATTTTTCTTCGCTTTTCTCTCTCTTTCCCTGCCTCTCCTCCCCCTCCGTGACTCATTCCACGCTCAGATTTCCCAGTGACGATGCCCATGTCACATGCCTCCGTCTCAGTTTATTATCCCGCAGTCTCCAATCATACTTTTTTGTATTTTTCGGTCTGTTTCTTCCCTTGCGTGTTTTTTCTTGTCTTTTTATTTCTCCGTTCGTACACAAAAATAAAGCCCAAGTATTTAATCTCCATAATGTACACACGTAGAATTATGACAATAACAGGAGAGAGAGAGAAAAAAACAACAATAGAGGTGCGTGAAGGTGAGTCCCTCCCTTGCATGACAGTGGCACGGGAAGGTCAGGGACAATATTGCAGCCAATATTGACGTGATGAAAGATGATTCACAGAAATCACGAGGGGGGGAGAGTGGGAGGAAGGGAAGAAGATACAAAAGGAGGGAGAGAGTAAGGGAAGTAGTGTGTAAGAAGAAAGAGAGGGAGATAAAAAGACGAGGGAATACGAAAAGAGGGAAAAATGAGAGGAAAGGGTCGTTGGACAGGGGGAAGGATGCAAGAGAGGGTAAGAAAGAATTGAGAGAGAAAGAGGGAGGGAGGAAAATAGCGAGAACTGGGAAAGAGTAGAGAGAAGGGGAGGGGAAGGAGAGGAAGGGGGAGAAAGAGGGGTAGGCAGGTGGTAGTGTGACATCACCAGCCGAGACGTGGTCGTGGACTCGCATACCAACAGCCAGCGCTGCCAACACCGCACGCCTCCCACCTGACACAAAGGTACCAACGCCTTTTTGAGAAAGCGAAAGGGACTAAGGACGCAGGAAAAGGAAAAAGGGGGAGGGCGAGGTCGCGGACAGGACGATGCAGGAGGGGTGAGTGATGAGTGATGATGAAGCGAAGGAGTAGTGAGGAGTGAGGGGAGAGAAAGAAGGAAAGAATAAGATAGAGATGAGAGAGATAGAGAGAAGTGGAAGACACAGAGAAAGAGGAGACGTACCACAAACATTTTTCTCTCGAAGCGACCACCTTCTTCGAAATACACCGGCTTCCCAATCGCGTTCACATGTCGCTATGACGTCACAACACGTAAATTCATCCCAATAAACCCAAACCAGCAACCGAAACATTTTTAAAAGCAGCACGGAAATCTCGTCCCAGAATAAAAAAAACACACGCACGGCAACCCGATTCAGTCTCTCCGCCCAGCGCACGAAATAAGCAACATTACAATTGCAGAGAACGGACAATTAGCGTCGTACAATCAGTGCAGCTTAGCGAGCCACTTTCCAGGGAGCTTCACGCCGGTGGACACAGAACCTGAAAGTAAGCTTTGACGCGAGTCACGTTTTCCTTCTGCCTTCCGTTTTTTTCGTAAAACTCTATTCTAATATTCCATTTTTTTCTGTGAAAATAAAAAATGATACAAGAGATCCTGGGATGATGAAAACTGAGAATAAAAGTCCGGGTAGCAGTTTCCTCGATGCGACATCGACACTCGAAATCAAATAACGTCAGAGAGTCGACACCGAGCCGACTCTTACTGTTTCTTTGTTTGTTTTTCTTTGCATATTTGCTATTTCTTTCGTTTGCATACATTTTTTCCGATAAAACTTTTCGCGAAGAGAGACCATTACCCAGCCAATAATTTTGGATAATGCGGTTCGTGTGATTGTAATTGAATTCCCGGGAAGAGAAATGGAGGACTAGCAGCAATTACGAACAAATTGAGCGGTTGAGAGAAAAGAGAGGATGATCTAGAAGAGAAACCTAGCGACAGGAGCGCCCCCCCGAAATTCCACCGTCAAATCTTCTTACCGCAGGGGCAGAGAGAGAGAGAGAGAGAGAGAGAGAGAGAGAGAGAGAGAGAGAGAGAGAGAGAGAGAGAGAGAGAGAGAGAGAGAGAGAGAGAGAGAGAGAGAGAGAGAGAGAGAGAGACAGAACAGACAGGCAGAATAAAAAAAAATGTCAAGCGAATTACGTTCAACTGGAACCGAAAGCGTTCCTCGAGTGTACGAGCCGATTCCTATTCCGCTGCCGCCACCGCTACCGCCCGCCGCGCCGCCCGCCCACCCGCCCTTCTTCTCCCCGGAAATCGGAAATCTTTTTATCATCTTCTTCCTCGTTCTCTTTCCACACTCTTCCGATTCTTCAAAAATCACCCGGCAAAAGTCTGTTCGAGTCTGTGTGTGCGAATTTGCGAAACATCTATTTCCGTATTCCGTAAACACTTCGTACCAGGAAGTTTTGGAGAGAGCAGAGAGGAGGAAGAGGAAGGAGGGAGGGAGGAGGAAGGAAAGGAGAAAGGAAGGAGGGAGGAGGGAGGGAGAGAGGAAGGAGGGAGAGAGAGAGGAGGAGGGAGAGAGGGAGGGAGGGAGGGAGGGAGGAGGAGGGAGGAGAAGGGAGTAAGGGAGGAAGGGAAGGAGAGAGGGAGGGAGTAAGGGAGGAAGGGAGGAAGGAAGGAGGAAGGAGGAAGGAGAGAAGCAGCATGCATGATGGCGAGACGTGAGAAGGAAAATAGATCTGTGTTTCCGTTCTTTTCAGCTAGTTGAGTGAGGCTCTGAAGGGAGGTCTGGCGCATGAATGGATGGATGGATGGATGGACTGATGGATGGGATGAATGAGTGCATGATTGGATGATGGATGAATGGATGGGTGGAATGAATGAATGAATAGATAGATCGATAGGCAGACAGATACATGGACGGCTGGATAGAAATATTCATTATCTAATCTACAACAATGGATGAAGAGGAAGCGGAAGAAGTGGATGAAGAGGAAGCGAAGCCAGAGTCCAAAATCCGCTCCTTGCCCCTTTTCACCCGTTCGTCCCGGGTGGAAGCAGCCAATTTCCCCCCGACCGGATGTTTACCGAAACCAGCGCGAACGGCGAACCGGGTCAGCGGGGGACAACCACCGACTTACAGCGTACGAAAGAAAGAAAAAAAAAAGGGTTACGAAGTCCCGACGGCCGTGGAGTTCGCACGATTACAACGGCGGAGTTGAATAATCCCCCGACGTGTCCTAAACCTTCCCACAGGACGAACATCACATCAAACACAGCGAATATCGAGCCCAAAAAGATCTCAGTAACGGGTAAGCCATTGAAAGAGAGACGTCCACGCACAAACAACTACCCCAATGGCAGAAATAAACACGCCAATACGCGAATCTAAGCCCCGGAAAATATCTGCACCACAAGTGAACTAGATATGGCTTGCAGGCGTCATGCAGCCTGGAGTTCTAAGTGCTGTGGGGGAGAGGGGGAGGAGAGGGAGGCAAGAGGAGGAGGAGAGGTAAGAGGGAGGAGAGGCAAAGGGAGGAAGAGAGAGAGGTAAGAGGAGAAGAGAGGAAAGAAGGGTGAGGAAAGAGGGAGGAGGAGGAGGAGAGAGGGGAGGGGGAGAGAGAGGAGAGGAGGAGAGGGAGGAGGAGGGGAGAGAGGGGAGGAGGAGGAGGAGAGAGGGGGGAGGAGGAGAGAGGGGAGGGAGGAGGGAGAGGGGAGGGAGGAGGGAGAGGGGGAGGAGGAGGTAGGG